AGCATGCAGCAAGCTGAAATGATTCCACAGAGTGCCAGCTGCAGACTGGGTGCCTATGACGACTGCATTGAATATTATGTGTGCCTCAAGGGACATGTTCTTGGAATATGCACTCTCTTACCATTGTCTGATTCCGAGGAGGTTTCTGAGCTGGAGTGAGTCAGAATACATGCAGGTACCCTCCTTTACTGAGTAATTTGCTCTATGTTAGAAAGGAACTGAGATAAAAATATAAAATTCTGGAGTTTTTGACTGTTATGAAAGAGACATCTTCGATTTGTCATGAACAACGAAGTAACAACCTGTAAGACGATATACAGTGTCTGTGGTTGTGCAGGCATGGAAGAGCATGCGTTTTCTGTTGAGAAATTAGATGCTACTGACTTGTGAGGTATTTTACGTGCTTTTCCTACCCAGAAATTTCTACAACTGACGGTCCTTTTTTTTTGTCTTAGCAGGCTTGGATTGTTTCTTGTGGAGTGAGCAAATGTGGATGAGAAGGGATAGGCTAATCCTATATTGCCCTGAAGCTGTAACCAACCCTCACAATTCTCTTCTAGACTTCAACGACATTGCTTCCTGTTCTTGCTCAGGTCAGTTGTTTCATAGAGAAGGGCTGGAGGCTGTTGCTGACGAGCTTATCATCTGTTACTTACTGTGAGCGTGTAATACTGTGTGTTTTTTATGTATGCCGATATTTGTACTTTCATGGCAGATTGGTAATTGCAATAATTCACAGACCCCTGTTGTCTATGATCGATCAGTTGCTTTACCCTTAGATTTTCTATGAAAATCTTGATACAAATTAGAAGGTTCAACCTCCTGTATGCCCTCTGCGGAGGATTATATTCTGCTTCCATGGCATAATTTATATTGGTTCCAGTGAAGGATGGAGTTCGTGTGTACAGCTTGAAACTCCACTGTGTTCCTTGTCTCTCCGACTGTTGTAGAACTGCTCCGCCGCGGGCTGGGAAGCGGCTGGGTCAGTTTTTCTCAATGTAAAAAAAAATAAGAATGCTGAGGGATAAGAAGCAAGAAAAATATGAGATTAATGTCATTAACTTATTTTGATTTAATAGGTGTGGTTGATTTAATAATATAATTAAAAAATAGATAATGATTTTAAATTAATTTAATGTTTGTTAATATTATGAAAAGATTTTCTCTTAATATTCTTATAAGGTATCTGATTAAAAATTAAATGAAAATATCATAATTTCATATAAAATAAAATGAAAAAGAAAGTTAAAGTTTAATTTTTAGCAAATTAAATATTGTATAATAAAATTAAATTAAAAAAATGAAAGAACTAAATTGAGACTGT